AATGAAAGACAATGGGGCCACTGGTTAGCTAGAAATCTAATTAATACAAAACAGAAACTCAAACTCGGTTTAAACTGACAAAGCCGTCGGGTATAAGTCGGCAATAGCAATTGGCGGACGAATTACATAAGCCCATGAAGCGCAACTTTACTCGGCGGCGCGTTATTGTAAACGGTATCGATAAAATTTGGTGCTCAGATCTGGTTGAAATGCAACAGTTCAGCAAATGGAACAAGGGTTATAGATATCTTCTCATGGTATTAGATCTATTCTCCAAATATGGCTAGATTGTCCCATTGAAGGATAAGAAAGGGGAAACTGTCACAGAAGCATTCAAAACAATCTTCACAGAGGGGCGTAACCCACAATATCTTTGGACTGATAAAGGGAAAGAGTATTATAACAAAAATATGAAGGAACTGTTAGAAAGAATGGCATAACACTATACTCAACCGAGAATGAGGAAAAATCTAGTGTTTGTGAAAGATGGAACCGTACAACTAAAACCAAAATGTGGAAGCAGTTTATTGTCCAGGGTAATACTATATATTTAGACATACTACCGAAAATGTTGAGCCAGTATAATAACACCAAACACAGTTCCATTAAAATGACACCTATAGAAGCTAGTAAAAAGAAGAATGAAAGTACCGTGTATTTCAATCTATATGGCGATATGAAGCAATTGTCATCTAAGCCCAAATTCAAGGTTGATGATAAAGTCAGGATAAGTAAGTATAGGGGAAAGGTGTTTGACAAACGCTACACACCTAATTGGACTGAAGAGATATTCCTGGTCGATAAACTCCAATCCACAAATCCAATTACCTATAGATTAAAGGATCTCAACAACCAGGAAATACAAGGCAGCTTTTATGAACCTGAATTACTGAAGGCGAAACAGGATGTATTCGGTATTGAAAAAGTCATTCGGAGGGATTATAAGAAGAAACAAGCTCTTCTGAAATGGTTGGGTTATAGTGACGACTTTAATTCCTGGATTCCATTGAGCAGCTTACAAAATTTATCTAACTAATAGTGGACAGTCATATAAAAAAGTTGGATACTAAGATCCGGTTTAAGGAAGCCCAACTCAGTGCAATATACACTAAAATTCAAAACTTGGAAGAAGAAATTGCCACATTACACCACAAGAAATTGGTTGTGAAAAGACTGGAAACAGCTGAGAAGTCATTAACCGGCATCCTCGATGCGATCTAGGAGAACGAGTAAGGATATTGCTAAGATCCTCGGTAATAGCAAAACAGAAAATGCTATTAAGAGACTTGTTTCTGAAGAAAATAAAATGCGCCAAATTTGATGGCACCCCATTTCAGGGGGTCAACAAAATGAGAAAGCTTTGTTGGGGTCGTGAAACGAGACCTCAGACCTAGGGTGTTGAAACGGCACCACCATGAGGCCCAAACTATTTTAATCTATAATATATGGCATTTTTATTGGCTTTTATGATATGTAATTATCTAACCTATATATATGGTATATATGATAGAAAAGAAATATGTCAATCAAGATATAAATATCGAGCTGACTTCATATATTGATGATAAACAAAATGCTTGGTTCAAGGGTAAAGACATTGCCCTAATTCTCGGATATAGTGACACAGATCAGGCTTTAAGAAAGCATACCGATAATGAAGACCAAAAAAGCTACCCCGTCAAAACGACGGGTCAGGTCAGATGGTATACTGTTATAAATTAATCCGGATTTTATTCCCTTGTTTTGTCCTCAGAGTTAGAAACAGCCAGGGTAACATCATAAGTACTTCCATCAATTAGAAAATTTGGATACAACAAACTTTTCGACAACCCAAATAACAAAATGTTTAAGATTGAAAATGAGACAGATCTAGACTGCAAAGTTGTACACCTAATCAGAAACTATTATCCAAAAGCCCTTATTGTAGCAGGACTTGGAGAAAACCAAGATACTCCATCCAAAAGAATTGCTAGTTGGAAAAAAGGTTATACCAAAGGTCAGCCTGATCTGATGGTGCTTAACTACCACAAAGATGTATTGAGTTTAAATATCCAACCAATAATTACCAAATTTCAGATGCTCAAAGAGAGATGAAAAAACGGTATAAGGAAAATTGCTACCAATTCATCCTAAGTAATGACTATGATCACATCTGTAGAGAAGTACATAATTACATGGCTGGTATTCGTGTGCCGTGTAAATACTGTGACAAAGCGTTCCTAAATAAAGAAACACGAAAAAGCCATTATAAAATAATCCATCGAATTGAAAAATAATAGAACTTTATAATAGTGCCATTAGCCAGAAAGCTAGTCAGTATCTATTTAATACGCCTCAGTCTTAGTTCACCCCAGAGAGGTCCTTTTTACATTCCATAATTATTCACAAAGTATATATATGGAAGGTTACATCCGTCTCTTTCTAGAGGCACTAGTTTAATAACTATGTATATTCCTCCAAATGGTAGAGTAAGCCTTTAAAGTAAACAAAAGTTGACCAATGAAATGGGCCTTCTCTCAAATATTAAGTCAAAAGTCGTACAAAAGCACACGAAAACCCCTCTAAAATCAACATTACAACAATTAAACCAGCTAAAAGAACCACGAATTTCATCCTATGAGTTATTACTACTATCTGGCATCATAAAAAATACTTGTGAAGGATACAAAGGGTCAGTACTCGTTGAGCCTGAGCAAGCAATAGAAAAAGCTGATTATAAATGCGGTAAGAGCTTTTATTTGGATCCTATTTTAGATACTTACAAAAAGAAAGTAATTGAAAATCCAATAATTGATAAAATATTGGATATGATTGCAAAAGCAACTATAGACAGGTTGGATTTTGGAATCAAAAAAATAACCAATAATCATTCTCATATTGTATTCACAAATGAGGATAAATATCAAAACTATAAGCCAGATCCTGACTCAAAAACCAAAATAATATGTGATCGCAAACTATTTCAGTATGGTGATATGGTTTGGCTTAGATATTATTAAAGTCAAACCGCCCAAACGGTTACCAAAATGCTGACTCAGCAAAAATCATATAGTTTACTCACAGTAGAGAAGAGGAAGAATGGTTCACGCAGAGAGTAACCCCATGAGTGTGAGATTCGGGTCTGACAGCCGCCGTAGTAATACTTCGCATACATTGATTCCAAACGTAGAAAGTTAGGTATGTTTATCCTCTTTCTGAAATGCAAATTTGTCAATTTTGATCACGTGTGACCATAATTAAACGTTAAGGCACAAGAAAACTTCAAGATTTACTTTTGGGGAAAAATTCAATTTGTCCTAGGTCTCCTAGCGAGAGATATTGCTAATCATTCATATGCTCCGAACAAACCTTTAAGCCACGCCTTAAACCCCTCGAGTAATTATATCTTTTCTTCATTTGTCTCTCGTTGTAGTCCCACCAAACTGCACGGACATAAAACTTAATCTGGCCATTATCTTGGAGGCCTCAAGCGAAATTGGATTGCAGCACTTCCTTGCTGCAAAAGAATTTATTAAAAAGTTGCTGGAACTGAACGATGTCTCACCTACGGGAACCCATGTCAGCCTGGTACTTTTCAACAACAGGGCATTTGATATTATCTCCTTCCAACAACCCAGCTCTCAGAACATAGATGTCTTGAGTATAGTACTGCAATTTTTACCGCCCCAACTTGTAATTGCACCGGGTAAACGGCTTGATATAGCTTTAACACACGTCAATGATAATGTATTCAACGCCGTCACAAGCCAAGGACGAGACATTACAGACGTCGCAGTTTTCATAACTGATGGACGAATTATTGACGGAAACAATGTAACTGGAACGGTTTCCTCTTTAAAGGTAAGATTATGACGCACGGTCGATTACTACTTAATAAGAAATAGAAGACGAATAAAAATAGTGGCCAATACAATTAAAAAATTATTTACAAAACTCAGAATTAAGTCATTCAGATCCAGTTAAAATCTGAATGTTGTTTTTACTAAAAATCAAGTTAAAATAAATCATATGCTACAATAAAGAAACAGCAGTTAGTTGTATAAAGATAAACTACTATTTGATTAGTAAGTAAGTTTATTTTCATTTTGATCAATATAAGTTACAGCAGGTTAAAACAAATATATCAAGTATATAGAGTAAAGAAAGCTTTAGTGGCTTTTTCTATGGCATCCAATAAATGACCTTAGCCATGCACAAAGCACGTAACAAGAAGAATAGAATTTCTATGGTAGGTCTGATAGTATAAATTTTTTTATCTTTTCCTTCTTTCTACTTTTTGCAACATCCTACAAGAAAAGTAAATGATATGCGTACAGGTACATTTATTTATAGTACTTAGCCGCATACACCTTTACCTAGTCGTCATACGATATGGCTGTATCACTTATTGACGACAATCTTCTCCAGAGAGCAATTGGATAATGGTTTGAAATTCAGTCCAAAGCCTCTGCTACACAAAAATCCCTTTACCCGATTGATAGTTCACATGACGTCACGACCGCCATATTGGTGTTCCAAATTTATGAAACGGCGGCCATAATAGTGTTCTAAATAACTCCTGCACGAGTTTTATTTAAAAATTCTTTTCTAATGTAAACTCTTTCTTCTGTTCGGATAAATTTGCATGGAAGCATGGCAAGCAGCTATGTAAATTTATTGGAAGAAAAAAAAGCGTCTAAGAAGAAAAATGAAAGATTTGTAAGGGCCTGTTTCCGTAGCGGTGGGGGGCCCCAGGTAGGTGAGGTAACCCGCTTAGGTGGGGTAACCCGCCTGTTCATATAATCTCTCATAGTAATTTGATCATATTTATATGATAGGTGGGGTGACCCGCCGCACGTTACCTCGCCTACCTGGGGTCCCCCACCTCCATGTAACAGGCCCTAACACGACGTTTCGGGGTCCTAATGTCTCCATTTTCAAGTGAGATGTGACTAATATTTCAATAGAAAAATACTAGAGATGAGAAGAAATAATTTTACACACTGGTTAAGTAAACACTTTGGCCCGCAGGGAATGGGATTGCACATTTAGTAAAGGCGTGAAGTTCTTAATTAAAAACATCTCTTGCATTTGTTTGATTGTAATAATATTCACATCTCACTTGATAATGGAGTCAAAGAGACCCCAAAGCGTCGCGTTATAATTCTTTCACTTTTCTTCTTAGTTGCTTGTTTTCATAAAACTGTGGTATAAAAGAAAGCATGTTCAGAAAAAAAGAGAGTTCAACGCGAGCAGGACTGGTTTGGAACACCAACATGGCCGAAGTGAAATCAAGTAGCAACCTTCAGGCCCAATTAACGAACTATGTCTATTCTATTTTCAGGAGAAGAATATTAAATTGGTGACGGTGAGCTCCGGAACTGATATACGACAGGAAGTGTTGTACGATATTGCAGGGCCCAACATGTGTCTCAGTGTCAGTTTACAGGAAATGGTGGCGAACGTAGAGAAGGTTGCTACCAAAGTTTGTAGTCCTTAAGATAGTAAACTCTCTGGTGAGTGAGTTAGAAAAACAAGGGTTTGTTATATATACGTAAAGCAAATGATGGCTGAGAAATCTTAAAGTCTTGAAAGTAAACAGCGTTCTTTTAGGAAAAAAAATGAAGAATGATTTATTTTACTTACACCCAATCAAAACTATCTTCTTATTTCTTTGCTCTTGTTTGCTCTTTATCGTATGCAAAGTGCCAGAAGTAAAATAATAAAAATAATAATAATTTTATTATGATAATGATAATGGCAGTGATAATAATAATAGGTAACTAAAAATCAAAAACGCACAACAATACAAAACCAAAACAAATTAAGCCAACGGCCGGATGCTTGGACTGGATACGGGTGGTGGTATACTTTTATAATTAAAATGGCTGTCCAAATTAGACATCCATGTACATGCATATAGTTTGCTTTACGAAGCCTGCATGCTGTAAAATATCTATTGTTGTCATGCCAGTCGCACTTTTTGCTTTAGATGCGGCTCATCCTCGGTATAAGAACCTGTAAAAACTGAGGGGTGATGTAAAACAAAGGAAACAAGAAAGTCGACACAATAGAACCTATAAAACGGAAAACAAAAGATGCAAAACAAAGAAAAAAAGTTACAGGTTCTTACACCAAAGTAAAAAGTCAAAAGCATTTCTCAGAATTCCAAAGAGTTCTTCACTACCTCGGTTTCATGGGCTGTTTCATTAAGAACTGTTTTTTTATGCATAACTAGCGGTGAATTCGAGTGTCTTTTGGTCTCAAACTTTTGTCTTTTATTACTTCTCAACACGGGTAAGATTGCATTAACTGATTCGGGAATTATGTTTCTTTCGCAGGGATTTCAGGTGAAAGGGGAGAATTCTGCATTTGCTGGGTACACTGTCAAGTGAAGAATACACTATCTTAAGAATATATTAATATCCATTTCATATTATTCTCAGAATTCGTAGAAATTTGATAAAATAAGATGCGTTAAGCAAATCAACAGTTTATGCTTTGTTAGCGAAGTGATCGTAAAAAGTAGACAGGTGGAGGATCAACCATGTTAAGTAGTGTATAGGCTCTTCAAGATACAATCCATAGGTTAAGTTCAGGTATATATGGACAGTATATTTATTTATTATGGCCAGAAAATTCGGCATGAAACTTGAATACTACATTGGGACTTGAATGATTATTTTATTTAAGGGAGGGGGGAGGGCGTGAAAAGTCCAGTTAAAAGGGAAAAAATAAAGAACATCCTGAAATACTTATTTATATAACAACTCACAAAATCGCATTGTTTGGTTGAATAAAGGGCATATAATCAGACTCTGTTGTCTTTGCTGTTTTGGAATTCAAAGCTGTGCAGCTGATAGCTTGTAATGAACCATTGTAAATGAAGTTGCCCCGATTGCAAACCATAGATCATTCATGAAAATTAAAACGCCAAACATCTTTACAACTGGAGTTGCATTTGACTGGATTTGGTGACACCAAATTGATATTTTGAGATTATTATCACTTTTCCGTGCATTGTGGCGCATTTTGCGGGCTAAAATGGAGAATGTGGGTTTTGGGCCCGCCCTTCTCAGAGCTCACTTTAACCCTCGCCCAGCGGCTCGGGCTAAACCGACTCTTAGTCGGGCCCAAAATATATTTATACCCGTGAACATAAACTCTATTGTTTTACTATACAGAACTCTTTAAGAATCGTGACTGGCACGCGGTGTTTATGGTGTTTGTGGTTAGGAAGCGTAGCACCTGCATGAAAGATTGCCGTTCATTTTAAAACAGCTAGAGAGCTTGATATCAGCGCCAATGGTTGGACAGATCCATACTCCACAAGCCCCTAATTTTCCCTTTAGTATTTTCTTTAGTCCATAAGACAGCAAATCAGACTTATCTGTCATTAGCTACTGGCCTTCTCTATTTGTGGTGGGGAGTCGTCACTCAAGAACTTAAATATGTACCATTTGTTGGAGGTTTGATTTCCAATTTCTCATTTTCACGGGTGGCCGCTAGCATTTCTCATTTTGTCACCGCCGCTACAAAATTTTCATGTTGTTCTTCCAACAAAAAAATGTCTCCTTCATTTTTTTTATCTCTCGCTCTAAATCCCTGTCGCCTTTTTCCTAGTTCAGCTTCACTGGCCTTCCGCCCACTATCTCTTTTTCTCTGTCTTTCTCTTGCTCTATATTCCAAATTTGTGGACATGACAATTTATCTAAGCTTAATACTTTAGACAACACGGATACAGAAACAATTTCCGCTTTCCGTTTACGGGGGCTTGTACTTGGAAAATTGCCTTCAAATAAAAAGTAAAACAAAGCCGGTAAAAACGGTAAATTTACTTCCAACTATAAGGCTAAGCCCAATCGATATTGAAACGCAAATTTCCGTCCGTACATAAGCCCCTCCGAATATAAGCCCCTCCAAAAATAAGCCCCTCAAAAAGGGCCTGTGAAAAATATAAGCCCCGCCGCTTATTTTCGGAATCTTACGGTATTTTACATTGTCATACCTGTGGTGCGGACGGACGGTCTCTCGGGCGGTCGGTCGGTGTACGGTCACGTGATTACCAAATTTTCTCCGATGGGTAGATTAGTTCATTTTCTTACCCATGGTGCTCCGCTGGTGCTCTTCGCGTGCGAGAGCTCCGATATAAAGCAAATAGCGTAGTCTGGAAAAGCACTTACTTTCTAAAATTAACCCCTTAAGAGGGAGATCTGGAGGTCCAATGACTTATTAAACCGCGGTCTAAGTTGAACCTGGTTAAAATAACCGACCCTTGGTGTTTTGACGTTTTGCTAATTTTTCCAAATTAATGTGGACCATACACAAAAACTGGACAGCCTCACTGTGTAGTGGTGGGCTGTTCTGGAACTAAAACGTGTTGCTTGTTGGATTTTTGATGTCAATACAGTTAGACCCATGCATCATAATTAATTCGACAAATTAGGGACTGTCCAAACTTGTCCTCCCGTCTTCCTGCACATCTTAAGATCGTACTTGAGACGACATTATTGTACACACAATTTCGCCTCAAACGAAGGCAAGATTGTCTCCTGGATTTGGATAATAGCTATCATTGCTATCCAATTTAGTATCGAGGGCCTAATGTACAGTAATTGCACAAAATTATGTTCCTTTCTTAATCAAACAAAACCTCTATTTGATGTCATGCATCAGGACACAATTTCTGCATGCTGTCTACCCGCGCTACCATCTGCTATTCGGTGAAATACATTACACAAAACCAATGTACAGTACATTGTCTTGAGGCAATGAACCGTGCAACGAGAACCGCTGAGGCCCGCCAAATAAAAAGTTTGAGCAAACCTATATATGTCGTTTTTAAGCTACTTTCAAGTCATAAAGCTTAGACAAACGTCTAGAGATCCATCCCGGCTTAAGCTTTCCTGACATATTCCGTAAAGAACGATCTCGAATTTGTAGATTTTGCCCTGGTCTTCGTGGTGAACCGGGTAAATTCAGGATATAAGCTTCTCATAAGAGGCTTTGATAGTATGATTAAATGAAATGCGTATCGCTCTTAAACCTACCCCTCTAAACAACCATCTCAGCGGACGTTTAGAGAATCATGGGATGGAACTTTCGGCCTGATCGCCAAGCCCACGTAAGCAGTCAAACCTCAATATAAAGAGGATTCCCGGTATATTATTGACAAAATTCTTCGCCCCTCTCTGTATAACAACCAACCATTGTTGAAAGCAAACACATTTTGGCTTTCCTCTGGTACTTTGCTATAACTATAGGTTCTGTTGTACTGTACTTTGCACCCAAGGAAAGTGCTCCAGTGAGCGTCGAGGGCACTTTTTGTCCAATTTAGGACCATGACATTTTTAATCCTTCCCTTCGCGATTCCCACCTCTAATAATCATGCATGGTTCAGTTTAGGAACGTGAGTCACATGATGTCGAATAGAAGCAAATGATGTTCTTCCTTTTGACCAGTGCGCTCTCAGGCAATATCTGTTATTTCATGCGAAAAGTCTGTTTTAGTTACCCTCGGGTGCCAACAGCATTAACTGGACAATTCTGTCCCTTACTTATTTGAAAAAAAACCTTTTGGTACGTGCTATATTGTGCAATGTATGGACACGATGGAGTCACCAATTACTGTAATAATTTAGTCAGCCCGCACTTCATCTGCTATTCCATGCGTAACGGATCATCTTATATGGTACACAAAACATTTTTATTTCATACAGCGTAGCTTATTGAACAGACCTTTGTTGACTAACCGAGCATGAAAAAGTGATTAGAAGTAAATTTGCTAATAGGTTGCAGATATGCTCTTATCACTGATTTTAATTTTTCGTTGTCAGCTGCGAGATAAGCCTTCGATTCACGTCATTTTGAACTAACTCTCAGATTAGTTCAGCCATGACAAAATTTACTTTATTCCACCCAGAAACCGCATAATTTGGTTCAGCAAGCGCGTGGAGTAGAGAGCGGAATTTTGACTTGAAAACACAATGCATTGTCTTAAGACAATAGCCCGTGTGCCAGGAATCGACGAAGCCCGCCAAATAAAAATTTCCAGCAAAACAGAATAACTGTCATTTTTCTGCTTTCAACATTTTCAAGTGCAACAGTTATCATAAATCCAGCCATATTCAACCCACCTTTTCACATATTGCGTCATGAAAAAGATCGATTTTATATATTTTCTTCCGGTCATCGCTTGACTGGTTTCTTTGCATCAATAAGCAAACCATTCAGACTAATAATTCATTTCCTGCCATTTAATGAACTTATCTATTTAGTACATGGTCCATTCATCGCTAAAGTCCGCCAGAGGAAACCCTCTTTCTACAGGAGCTTAGGAAAGTTCTGCTAAAGTAGGATTTTTTAAAATTTAAGATCTTCCAAGCTTTCAGGCTTATCGAGCATAAAGGAGGACAACAATTTTCAGTGAATGAGGTAAGGTGCATAATTTCTTAAACCTCATCCTAGCTTTCCAGCAGTTTTGATGTTTCAGTTTATTTTTGACGGTCGAATCAAATTCAAACAGGACACAACCCTCAACTAAATAGTAGTTTTGTATTGTCAGTTGAAATGGGTGAAAATATTTGAATGTGCTAAACGTTTTGTTCGGCCCTTAACAGGAAGGTCTTTCTCATCTAATGTATTAAGCGATGCATACTGAGCTTGTATCTTGCTGCTGAAGTTTCATGAACTCTTACTTACTTGTTTGATTCTGCTGCTAGATTTGAGACGGTTTTATTATTGCCCTCTATATTATACGGATAAATACATATTTTTAGTGTCAATTCTGGTCGTCTTGATCAGTTCCAATTTCAGTTTCGCGGTTTCCCGCCATTTTTGCCGCCTTTTATGGCTTCGCGTTAAAGACAACTGATGAACAAATTGATTACGCTGTTATGCCGGCTAGGATTTTTTTCACTGTAGTGCAGGCATAGACGTATGAGGTCCCGCACTGCTTCGGGCCCTTGATACATATTTTCAAGATATTCCCGCATAAAGACCCGACCTTTTGCCAAGAGACTTCAATGCGTCAAATACCTACCAGACGATGCGAAAAAGTGTGAAATCAAGCAGTTTATTGCTTTCAAGTTCAAATAATCAAGGGCTGACAGCAAAAAGGTCGTCACTTGTTTACATCCGCCAAACTGACATTTTCCTCTCAGTGGCTCTCACAAGACATTTCAATTTTCTTACATGAAATTTCTCAGTCTCTTGAAATTTCTGTTCATAAAAGTTTAAGTCTCTTCAATTTTTATGGAAAAAAAATTCAGGATGGTACGAGTAGGAATCGATCTCGGAGCATGGGCTCTGCAGTGCGTCACTTTAACCTCTACACCACCGAGGATTTGCTGATAATGAATGGTTTGAGTAGAATATATATAGCAACAACCCTAACCCTAACCCTAACCCTAACCATTACTTTGTGTACGAATCATTAATCTGTCAACGTCAGTTTGGCAGATGGAAATAAGTGTTGACCCAGCAAAAATTGCATGCGCTGGCACTTGTTGAATTAAGTTTAAAGCTACAACAACTCCATTAAGCTTTTTTTTTTTGGCGGTGGTAGAGCTGATTTCTCATCTACCTATGTATAGTCAAACCCTATTAATACGGACACTGAGGGGACCATAGAAAGTGTCAGTATTAACGGGGTGTCAGTATTAGATGGGTTAAATTTAGAGAAAATGACTAAGGGCTTTCTTTTCCCTTGCCAGGGACAAAGCAAACTGTCCGTAATTTATGTAATGAGATGTCCATATTAAACGGGTGTCCGTAAGGCGGGGTTTGACTGTAAAATAAAGCAGAAGACCTCGGACAGTTATATCTGAATTGGAACACGTGTTCTACACACAACGCAGGCCCCGGTTGTTCAAACGTTTTTTAGCATTTTCCACTAGATAAATCACTATCCAAAAGATAAGTATTAGGGAAACCAACTGCACTATTCACCCGACAGAGATTTATAAGATGAAGAGCATTTTCCACCTTTTGAACAACCAGGGGCCAGGACCTGAGCATGCCAATCGCATCGCACAATTCTAACTAGCGCCGCTTCTAGGTTTATAAGTATTTTATTCATCAGTTACCCGAGCGGGCGTTTAATTAATTCAGTTAGCACTCATTAAAATGACCGTTTACGATTACATGTTATTCATTTGATCGATTCCCTTGCATTTTTAGTGAATAAGTGCTAAATGTTAACCAAAAATAGATGTAAAAAAAACAGCTCATTGAACGTTTTTTTTCTTTTCAGTAACAACTGTTTTACCTAGGATATAATAAGTCTTCAATGTTCTTTTCAGATAACTTCTAATATTATTCTTTGTTTATTCTACCATCAGATGCCCTGTTCCATGAGAATCATGCTGTCGGTATTCATCTTCCTCTTTAGTTTTTCAGGTATGAACGTGAAATTCATGCTCACTCGCTCTGGTAAATGTATATTTTTTCCAATAAAACAATTGGTTAGTTCGATTACACCCCATCATTTATTTACTTATTTTAAACATTTTTCTGAAAGGAAGTTGACAGAAATTCGATAACCAAAGGATATTGCAGAAGCAAAACATAACTTAAAATGAAATGACAAGTGTGGAGAAAAGAACCCAGAAAAAATTCTTGAATATTATTGACGTTGATTTTGGACTGATTTGGAACTATTTAAACACATCTTTAGTCGAGCTTGCATTAGCTGTGAGACTTAAAAAATACAAGCGTTTCTTTTCTTTTCCTTTTTTTCCTAGCGGAGACCTAGAGGATAAGGATTGTGACTACTTTCATCGTATACAAATGAGTTTCGTGATGAGCATGCGGTTTATTATCGGCGATGACTAAAATGACGCACCAATTTGATCACGTTTTGGCTGTTTGGAAATGATGTAATTTTCCCCGATTCGATGCCATTGATTTTCGTGTAATTATACCCATGTATTAAAAAGTGAATACCCCGAGGAAAACTCGACCTTCAGTGAAATAGGATGTGAGAAAATATTATATGAGGGGAAATCCTATTTTGTTGTGTATTGAGGCGTTACTTTTCTCATAATATTGATGCAATTACTGAAACTCTACGGTTATATAGCAGTCTGGTTATATAGATTCAATGTTGCAACAATTAAATACATACAACAAAGTGAATCTAGATTTTCGCAGTTGTTTAGATGTGAAGTCACGTTGCACTTTATAAGCAGTTGAGATATCAATGATTTAACCTTCAACAGAAACTTCTACTGGAAGCAACTTCAACTCCCCCTCTGACGTTACGTATGTGTCACGGGTGTGTTTATACGGGTAGCATTGTACTTGACTATCACGCACTCTCCTTGCGGCACTTCATGTCCATAGAATAGAAAGGTGCGAAAGATGTCGAGCTTTTCCGGAACGGGTCTGTCCACGAATTCTATAGTTTGAAAGCGTTAATTACTTTGGAACAAGTGATTAATTCAGTGGTCGAAAAAAAGAGCAATCTTATCGAGCAAAACTTCGATAGGCTAACTGGTCGGGTGTTGTAAACTTTCACTGTATGCAAATGAGTCTTGTGATGAGCATGCAGTTTGTTTTCGGCGATGATTGAAATGATGCGCTGTCTTTATCACGTTTCCTTGATTTTCGTCTATATACACAAGCGTTCTAATTAACTCAAAAAGAAATCGTCGAAAACGATATAAAAAATAAATATCCTGAAGGATACTCGACCGTCTATAGAGTAGGAATTAATATCATTTTAGCGAGCAAATCCTGTTTCGTGTTGAGTTAATCGCCCCCTAGACTGAGAGCAGTCTCTTATTTTTCTTTTGAGACACAGCAGGTCGAGAGCAGAATTTTACTTTTTCGCTCGCCGCGCGTGCCTGTGAGGAAAGAAGAACAACCATTCGCGGTCTAATCGCCTCCTCATTTCTTATCTTATCTCCAAGCAAGTGGGACTCAACGCTACTAGGAGCGTCCTTGTTTGTTACTTAGACTTGAAAATCGCCGCTCCGAACAGTCGGCTTTTTAGACTACTTATGATTATAATTAATCCCAAACAAAAATCAACGATATAAAAGTAACTTGACGTTCCGATGACTTCATGTCATCATTATTAAATTCTAAAGCTAGGACATTAACATGGTTTGTGTATCTCTGTTAATTTCCTAGCTTTTAATTTAACAGTGTTGACAAGAAGCAATCGAAACGTCAAGTTTCTTTATATCGTTGGTATCTCCAAGCAAACGGAATTCGGGAAAAAGGAATTAACTGGGCGTGACAAAATACAGGGATTCAATAAAAAAAAATCCCTCGTTATCCCCATTTTAAATTACTATTATTCGTGTTTATAGGGAATCTCATAGTGCACGGTGAATCTACGTACGGTCCTTGGGGTGAATGGTCCGATTGTGAAGTCTCTGAAGGACAAGGCATGATGACCAGAACACGGAAATGTGTAGCGACGAACTGTCCACAAACAGGAGAATACCGTGATGAGATGCGCTGCTTTGTAAAACCTTGCAATTGTAAATGTGCAGGTGAGTTCTCGAATAAGATTCCAGCTGCAAGCAAGTTACACAAGTCACCCAGCCCCTTCCCCCCGAGGGTAGGTTACTCGACAAACATTTCTACGGGGAGGCTCCGCACTGAAGTCCTGCCCCCTAACATCATTTTACGACTTAAAATAAATGTAAATAACTCGCTGCAATTTTCTTTTCTGTTTTCATTATTTCTGTTATCTTCTTTATCGATACTTTTTTTTTAAATATAATTTTTTTTATTGCTAGGACCAGAGGAATCAACTACATCAAGTGGTAAATAGTCCTGTGTTCGATGTTTTATTATTATTATCATCATCATCACCATTATCATCATCATCATTATTATTAGATTTCTCAGTCAACGTATTATTTCCTTACGATCATCTTCTATACTTTAAGCATCAACAAAACTTTATGATTTCTCGTTGACCTTTTCGTTCGCTGACAAAGCGCACTAAGTTTTTGTGTTAGAGAATTTTCGTAAATTTCTCACTCCCAACTTTTGTTCTTCAGCAAGTTTCCCATTAACAACCTTCTTTTTTCTTCCTGTGTTGTATAGCAACAGAAAAATTAACCACAGAAGGTTGGTATTACTTAATATTATACTTTTCGATTCCTCACTCAAAGTGTCATAACGTTTTTTTACAATTTAAGCCCTTTCAACGTAATGACCTGTCATTTGACCACAAAGCACCCGTTTGCATTGCCGTAATTGCACAGCATTGGTCACATAATAGTTAATATTATTTGCGATTGATTTCTCGAAAGCGCATTCAGGCACTTAATAACGTTTCGAAAGTGCTCGATAGTTTTTGTATCTAAGTGGGCCATTCATTTTCCTAACAACCCCTTTGTCTTTGTTTCTGTTTCGCTTGCTGTTATTAGATTAACGATCTCAATTCTTAATAAAAATTTTTTATGCTTGAAATTCCCAGCATTCTTTTCAATCTACGCGACTTCAGTGACTTCACAGTAAATAGCGTGATATCCATCAATTTAATTGCTAAAAAAAATTCCTTCTCTGTTCTTTTAAAAAGAACTAAATGACAATAGCTTAAATGACAATGACCTAAACTGCCGATCAGAAATAAAAATTTAAAGATATTAACATCACAGTCGGAACTTTCAGACATCTGCAAGTCCAAAAACTGACCTTTCCGTTTACTTATAGCGCAAAGTACTTGTTTACTTTGCGGTTACTGCAAAGCAAGGGTCATGTCATTCAAATCATCTATTTTAATTTATTTCTTTGTTAATTTAATTGGTTTTACTATTAAGCCAGTAGCAAAATGATTTCCATGATACATGTATTATTTTGCCTGAAAATTCTTTCTTTTTATTAATTGCAAGGCTTGTTTAGTCTAACCGATGCTCATAATAAAGAACTGAGATAAAATTAAAAAAATTTTTTGAACAAATTAAACATGTTTGTAGAGGTTTTCGATGGTAAATAATCATGACTGACTTTTTTATCGGCTTATTCTTATCATTATTAGACAGCTTTAGATTCGAGGATGAGGAAGAGTAATAGGACAACATTTAATTTTTCAAAAGTTCTGTCGCCTTTTCTCTAAAAATAGACACCGGCCCTGCAAAGCATCATTGTACCTTTCTTCATCACAAAAGTTAGTTCGCTTATTTCCGTTCAAGGAGTTAAAGCCCTCTCTTGATCGCTAAATGATAAAATTCCTAACATTTGATAACTTGTTTTCGTCACTACGACATCCGTAGTAGAATGACGATGGCTATCACATTTTCCCGTCAAATGACTTTGGTTCGCACGCGCGCGAAACTTAGTATTGGAAAAATCTCGTTCTCTGAGTCGTCCTCGTCTTAGAATCTAAAGCTCTCTATTATTATTGTGGTTGCAGTTTTCCTTTTCCCTTGTATTAATTTCTCAGTCAACTTTATACAAGGCTCAGCATTTTTATTATAAAACCGTTCCTGCCTTACGTTCTAACAAAACGACATGATCAAACGTTATGAAAATGCGTGTTTTAAAAAATGTAATAATTTTGAGTATAAGAACAAGCGTGAACTGAAATAATTATTAAATTCCCCAAGGTTTACATTTTTTCTTTTTTCTTTTTTTCTCAGTTTTGTTGTTACATTATTTATTTCCTATTTTTGGCCACTTTTGTTCCGTCTGTCTCTTTTCGCAATTGAATAAGGCGACGGAAAAATCCTTGAATGAAATTTTTTTGTAACCAATTGATAATAGCGCACGTTCGATATATTAAAATTCTAACATGACTCCGAGGTTTTCTGGTCATTTTTCTATCTTTGGCTTAGTTTTCTTTGTGCTCAAGTCTCCTCTGGGAATTGCCAGACAATGTAGTGGTAAAAAAATTGCAGTTTTGACCCTAAAGCCTCGGAGTCAGGTTAGAATTTTAATATATCGAACCGTCAGCTATTGAATAACATTTATTTACTCAGTTATCTTTTTTTAATGTAATTTGTTAGTCGAATCCAGTTATCCTTATCAGTATTTCCAAAATTTCACTTCTTGTTTCCTACTTAGTACCAGAAGAATCAACTATAAGCAAAAGTGGTAAATATTCATGCAAGCTTCTTGTTGTTGACATTTGTTTTATTTAGAGTTCTCAAACATTTTAGATTTTTCATTCATCTAATTATGACAACATTTTTGGTCTTATTTAATTTCATTTCTCTTTACCTTAACAACCAACAACATTATTGACCATAATTTAGTTTCGGCTGTTGGCGTAAATTAAAAAATTGCCTTTTCTTTTTGTAGGAGGAGAGGAATTGAGCACAAGTGGTAGATATTCATGTTTAATTGTTTTCCTTTATTTTGCTTCCTTGGTAGGTTTTTATGTTTTAGTTTTTTCTTCGAAAATATTCGCAGGGCTTCAATAACTTGAGAAAATTTTGCCAACAAAAACTGTTGACTTTCCAAACCTTTTCATTACTAGTATCTTTCAAATCTTCATTTTTCCTGACTACTTTTTTTTTCTATATTGTTTAGCATCAGAGGAAACAACCACAGAGGGTTTGTCATTAGTTATATTATTTTATTTGCTACAATAACTCGTCATAAATTTTCAAATGCACTAAAATTCAAGGCATTCTTTTCTCGTTCTGATTCTTTAAACGTCTTAATCTAGATCATTTAATAATAATAATAATAATAAATAATAACAATAATAATAGTTGTGAACATTACTATACCTGTAGACCACAGGGAGCCACGTCACACATGTGTTTTCAGAGGGGCCCTGCATTCAATAAATTACAGATAGTAAAATATTAAATTAGATAGCAATGAATTGTCTTTAAAAAGACAAAATGTCAAAAGTGCGTTTAACTTCATTAGATAACATGTTCTAGTCATTTGCACCCTGATAGTCATTTTCTCTTTGCACTACTTCTTAGGATGACATTCAAGAAAATCACAACTTCATTTCACTTGTTTTTCTCATTTCATTTATTTTCATCTTTCTTCGCATGTTCGTCATTGTTACTTTAAATTTAGCAAACTTGTCTGGAGCCGATAATGCCTAAATATTGTTTGCATTGACTTTATTCACTTAACGGTTTTATCTACTACTGCTATCTACTACTTACCCCTACAGTACAAGTAACGGTTGTTTATGTTCTTCAATTATCGAATAAAATTTAACTTTTAAAGTTACTTGATTGTCGGAAATCATTTTAAGCAGCATTTTTTAATTATTATATTTTTCCACTTAGGAGCAAAGGAGTCAACTACAAGTGGTAAGTAGTCATGTTTGTTGGTTTGTTATTAATTCAGTGAATTAGAATAATTGAATAAACGAATGAACGATTAAATGAATGAATGGATGGATGGATGGATAGATGGATGGATGAATGAATGGATGGATGGATGGATGGATGGATGGATGGATAGATGGATGAATGAATGCTGACAGAACAAAAGAGACGCTGTTTTTGATGTCTTTGTTTTGATCTTAGGGAAACACATTGACCGCGCAAAATTGTTCGATCTTACCGAATCACTGCGACGTCGAGAAAAAGAAAACTAAGTATACTACTCCATTGTAAGCAATCCGTCAATATAAAGGGAAAGTAAACTCTGCTATTCTCCAAAAATATGCTGGAACACAAACAGTTCAAAAACATGGGATTCACAGTTTCTGACTCGTACTGGTGCCTCTCTAAAAGTCCGTTGAAAACCAGCTAGACGAGCAACCGGTCGTGTTTAATCGTTGCAGTGAATCAAGATAAATACAAATAGGAATCTAGCCGAATTCCATAACTTTTCCTACGCCAGAAGTTTAGTTTTGCGTGGCCATGCTGTTGTAATTGTTTAATAAAAACAGCCACAGCACAACTCGATAGCCGCTCGATTATGTGTTCACATGCTTTGAGCACAAAAAAAAAACAACAATCCAAGAGCCAGCAGCCTCTAAAATAACTCACCAGAAAGGTTCTGTGAACTATAAGGAACATTCCATCAAAGATTCCATCACTCATTGTGGATCAGCCGTCTTTAATTTTCTGCCAGTACAATGGCCGCTGATAAGAGCACACTGCAAATCCACCTAAAACAAATTCCAAGGGCAAACAACTTAAAAAATAACGCCAAAAAATTCTTCTGTAATCACCATATATCGATTCTTAATACAAAACTCCGCTAACTATCAAACGATGGCTGAGATTTAAATAGATAAAAATCTCCGACAGAACAAAAAGTCGGGCAGACGTTTTCAAGTTTGTTTTCATTGGCTCGCGCTGGCGCCAGGGGTTACATAGCCCCTTTAAAGGTATATAAGAACTTCATTTCACGCATTAGAGTTCAAAGCTCTTGTTTTCAATTCATAGAGCCGCGTATAACTACTCCTCAGCCTTCTAGCTTTTCTTTTTAGAACGCTTTCCATAAACAACATTTTTTATTATTTTTCTGCCTTGTTTAGCATCAGAGAAATCAACCATAGAAGGTTTGTTATCTTTGCTTTACTATATATATCCAGTGAGAAAAATATTTTCTCCTATATATTAATTACCTAAAACAGCAAAATCCTCGTGGTATAGCCCCTTTACTATCTTATTTCACGTTGAGACATTGAGTGACATTGAAATTGACTATCTTAGTCCATCCTTTTCAATCAATTTTCTGCAGCCAATTATGGACGTTCTTGCTAATAACGAGATCTTGTCTTGCAATTAGCGCAATAATGGCAGCTTTATTCACGTTATCTACGGATTACTGTAATTTGGGGTACTATATTGATCATTAAACGAAGAAAGACGTTTTTTCTTCTTGTTTCCTTCTTTGCACAAGAGGAATCAACTAGAAGCATAAGGGGTAAATATTCAAGCACGCTTGCTGTTGTTTTTAGATTTCTCAGTCAGCTATCTAGTCATAACAACATTTTTGGTCCAATTTCACCTCCTCTTACCTCAAAAATCAACAACAATGTATATATTGTCAGTGTTCCCGGCAAGGAAGCAATAAAATTACAAATTTCGCCTGAGTATATAATACCTTTTTCGGGAGCCATTCCTTCCTGCTCGAAGAAACTTTCAGGTTCTTTGGCAGTTTTGAACTGCAACAAAAATCTCAATGGAATAAGTGCCAAAAGGCCAATTATGTTATTTGCACAGAGAAAAATTAAGTAGAATCGAGTCCCTTTAAAGTCGCAAGCACTTTTCAAGCAATTGTTCTGGCTTTTGCCTGATATTTCAACGTCACATTAAGTAACCTTTCATCGCTCTATAATGACTTAAAGCACATGCGAAGAATATGAGGATGGTTATAACTAGAAAAGTGCTTTTTTACCAAATGAGCTTACAGACAAAGAACATGCATACATGAGAGAATCATGAGAGATATTAAGCTGATCTTTAACGAATTGAGAGTTTATCCTTCGTGATTTATGTGTGGCAATCAATTAATAATATTACAAAATATTACGATCTCAGTGGGATTTTATAGACATCTGCACATTTAAGTCCTAAGATCAGCAACCTTTCCGTTAACAACAAAATACTCGTTTACTTTGCAGTTTCGACAAAACAAGGGTCGTCTTTCAAAATTATTTTATTTGTTAAGACTTCTATGTCATGTGTGATCTTTTGAACATTTTGTCTTAACAATGTCCTTTTTTATCTTTCTCTGCTGTTTTAGCATCAGAAGAATCAACCACAGAAGGTTCGTTTAAGTTCCTGTTATTTTTTGTCTAGAATCAAAATGCTTAGCTTGATACATGTATTGACGGTTGTTTTGTATGAAATCCTTTTTTACTGTTTTTACCGTTTAGTCTAACCGATACTTATATGGTAAAGAAGACAAAATATCAAAACAAAAAATATTTTTCGAAAAATTGAAAAATGTTTGTTGAGCGATTTTTGCAAATAACTTGAGAAAATTTGACAAAGTGATTCGATTAAAAGTCTAAAGAGTCAGCTACAAGTAGTGAATAATTATTATTGACTTTTTTATCTGCTTTTTCTCATCATTATCATTACTATTATTGTTTTTATGTTTATTCGGTAGTCGAATCTTTTCCTAATCAGTATTTCTAAAATATCATTTCTTTGCTTCCTACTTAGCACTAGAAGAACCAACTACCAGTATAAGTGGTAAATAGTTATGTCTGCTTGTCGTTGTTTTTTTATTTGGATTTCTTATTTACCGAGTCATGACCACACTTTTTGTTTTATTTCGCTTCTCTTCACCTTTTCTTTTCTTTCTGTTCTCTTTTTACTATCAAAATATATCAAACATCATTTATTTATAAATTATTCCTAGGGCCAGGGGAATCAGCTACATCAAGTGGTAAATATTATCTCTGATGTTTTATTATCATCATCGCCGTCATCACCATCATCATCATCATCATCTTTACCATTATAACTATTATTATTATTATTATTATCATTAGATTTCTTAGTCCACGTATTATGACCGCAGTTTTTTCTTACAACCACCTTTCTCTACTTCAAGCACCAACAAAACTTTATCACCTCTAGTTGACATTTTCGTTTGCTGACAAAGTAAAAAAGGTTTTTGTATACGGATGAAGTCACGTGAACGTCTCACTCCCAGCCTCGTTTCATTTCCAAGCTCGTTTCGCATTAACAACGTTCTTTTATCTCTTTATGCTATTCAGCATCAGAAGAATCAACCACAAAAGGATGACATTTCTTCTTATCAAATATTCAGTGTTTCTCTTATTATGCATAGATATACCCTTTTTACTATTCTACACTTAAGCTATTTTTTTTTTAGTTTTACCGACACTTATAAGTACCACAAACTTGAAAATACTAAATTGTTAAAAATATTTTATAAAAACTAAATAATTAATTTCATTATTTTTCTTTTTTTGTTTAACATGCCTCCCAGCATTCTTTAGAATTATTTTTCTGTAATCACCATATATCGATTCTTAAAGTACTCGTTTACTTTACAGTTTCGGCAAAACAAGGGTCGTCTTTCAAAATTATTTTATTTGTTAAGACTTCTATCTCATGTGTGATCTTTTGAACGTTTTCTCTTAACAATGTTTCTTTTTTATCTTTTTCTGTTGTTTTAGCATCAGAAGAATCAACCACAGAAGGTTCGTTTAAGTTCCTGTTATTTTTTGTCTAGAATAAAAATGCTTAGCTTGATACATGTATTGACGGTTGTTTTGCATGAAATCCGTTTTTACTGTTTTTACTGTTTAGTCTAACCGATACTTATATGGTAAAGAAGACAAAATAACAAAGCAAAAATATATTTGGAAAATTTGAAAAATGTTTGAAGAGCGATTTTTGCCAATAACTTGAGAAAATTTGACAAAGTGATTCGATTAAAAGCCTAAAGAGTTCATCTGCAAGTAGTGAATAATTATTATTGACTTTTTCATTGGCTTTTTCTCATCATTATCATTACTATTATTGTTTTTATGTTTATTCGGTAGTCGAATCTTTTCCTTATCTGTATTTCTAAAATATCATTTCCTTGTTTCCAACGTAGCACTAGAAGAATCAACTACAAGTATAAGTGGTAAATATTTATGTCT